GGCTTACCTGTATGGGCTGGGATAGCAACGAATGCCCGATCCGACCTCTGCATGATTCCTGGTGGCTCCATCACAGACGTCCGTTATTGCGAGAAATTCTGCACACTCTTGTGCCGTTTTTATCGCTGGAATGGGTAACCTATGCGACACTGATGGATGATAACGCCCGCCCGCATAAAGTTCGTTGGTGCGGAATTATTTGGAGAGTGAAACCATTCCATATCTGCCAGGGGCTGCTTAATCAGCGGACTTGAATATCATACAGCATTTGTGGAAGATTTTGGCACGACGGATAGCAGCTTGCAATGAGCCGCCATATACCTTGTACGACCTCCGACATGCGCAAGAATGGACGCTATTGCCACAACAAGCGATCAACTACACTATTGCTAGCTTGCATCGCTATTGTCAAGCATGCATTTGACCTAATATGTGTTATGCTCTTTATTAGCCTGATGTTGCCATTGAATATTTTCCCTACCCATTTGGTCTTTCGCGATGTGATGATCTAATACATGTGTTTTCGTATGTCTTTGCTTTATTGTTTGCTGTATGGTCTAGTAATGCCACATCAACCTGCTGGGTCAGTTTTACGCATATCCATTATACAGTTTTTTCCTCTTCCGTGTTTTGCCTTTGTTGCTTATTTTTTTTAGCAGGAGTGTGTTTCTGGACTGCATCATATCTAAATTAGTACATATCATATGATTCGCATAACGCTGATAACGTAGATAATTTGGAACTTAAACCAAAACGTTCTCGTAATAAGCTGCCATACTGAATACATGAACACTTTTGCTTCTAGCTCTTTCCATTAAGATGCTAACGTACGTCTTTTCTTCCTATTCCAGAAGTATTAGAAAGGTAAATGTTCTTGGACAGGCAGGATTAGATTGCCATGTTTAATGTTCATTGCGTATTTAACATTCTACGTTCTACGCCATCAGTATTGATAAGTTTTCTTTATATGTATATATTCGCTATATTATTTCTTTGAATATAATGCATGGGGATAGTATACGGCGACAACAAATATATATTTAGAACGTGACACGAACGAAAACTTGATACGGGCAATAAAGTGAAAATACAGATTAATGGAATCTTTGGTACTATGAAATAATGAAATAATAAATAATTCATAGGAAAGGCTAGTAAGAATAGTAGTATTTTTTTACAAAGCCTGAAAAATGTTAACTAAAGACGTTGGCAGCGATCTTAATGATTTGTAAAGAAGATTTCCGACAGTGAATTTTAGAATTTCATGGAATCTTTGTAACGTATACTTTATATGAAGTGGGTTGAAAATACTCGTATTTAATTCAATTCAATATTTAATTCAAAGAACCTTTCATAGAATTTTCATTCTTGACTAATATATATTTGAGTCTGTACTTGGGCGTGTTACAGATGTTTTTATTCTCACAAATCGGGAAAACGAAATGGACGACATTGAGTTGCAGATGCACCATTTTACCAGAACAATGTGCGAGTTAAGTTGGATCTTCGACTCCCAAGTGGACCACTCGTTTAGGACGCAAGTACTCATTTTGCCCCCATAAGCCTTCTGCTTCTGAGGCTTTAAAAATGAGATCTGCAGCAAAAGCATTAATAATACTGACAGTTTCAGAAAGAGAATCATACAAGGAATTGAAAGCGTTACTCAGTTTAACATCTGCAATTAATTTTTCAGCTAGGGGTACTAATTTGCATATGATTCACTAAAAATTAAAGATGTTAAAATTGGAACCTTGTGTGTAATCTGAGCTACTTACATGAAAATCCCCAGATGGTAGAAAAAATTTTACTATAACAGTGTTTCATCGTAAAATGACACCACGCAGAAATACGTACAATTATTTTATACAGAAAACCCTCAATATCTAAGGTGCCTTTATCTCACTAGAAGCTCGATTATGCCACAAGGATTGAGTGAATATTTTTAAGTTGAAATTTCGTCTAATTTGGTAGGACACTATGCTCAGTAACTGAAAAACCCTAAGCATTTTGAAAACGGTTTCTTCGAAGTATTTGAAAGATAGTTTTTGCATTTACACTACCCTCGTGTTTACATTATGAGGATAAGCCTCACATGGGAACTTCAACATTTAATTGCAGTTTTATTTTGTATATAACATTTCATCCGACCGGTTTTTGGATGTGTTGAACGGCAAGTAGGCAAGGAGCGCTCCAAGTTCTGCTTTGGCGTTTGTCGTGTGCGACGGCTTAAACTGCTCTTCAAATTACATTTTTGGTTTCATGACGTGAAGATTATAAGAACTCTGCAACGAACAACTACAACAAAAGTTTTTTTTATTGCTTGTAGAGAGTGCAGCACGCATAAAGTACTTTTTCCATGAAATTTAAAATAACTGAGCGACTATGAGGCAACGGCATTATTTTTAGCAAAGAGTCTTGAGGAATCTTTCCTTTTTCGCCTAAGAATTGTCCTTTCTATATGATAATTAACTGGTGAGGCTTTAACTAAGGAATTTTTTTACTGAGATTTCATGAATCAAGTGCTTTACACAACTCTAAGAACCATCTTAATGTTGTAAAAATATTGTTTCTTTGGCAGCTTTCTCTTGACCATAATGATTAGTGATATATTTATTACGTATAGTGATAATCATTATGGCAGGATATAATATTGGCAGGATTACTTTCTTGAAGTATTTTGACTGAAAATGAGAGTACAGGTTAAAAATTCGGTTTTTTATCTTCGCGAAAATCTAAAATATGCCGTTTAAGTTTTAAACTGAAACTAGACCAAAGTAGGCTACAATTTGCGAAGCTAACTGCAGAATTCCTGCTGCCGATTTTCATTTATACTGAGCATTTTAAAGAGAAATTTTATATACTGCTCATCTTAATAAGGAATAAAGTTTCAAAGTTCGCCGAAAGGTTGATAAGTAGAATGCCAGCTATTTCACATTTTTATGAAAATGCGGGTATTGTTGAATTCTATTTATTTAATAATTTTGTAAATATGGAACTCATTTGAATTCTTTGATATTAAATAAAAGTTTTGAATAAAATCTTGTAATTCTTCTATCTGATGAACGTTATACTTTTTTATTTTGATATTTATACTGCATGATGGATTAAATAGAATGTTTTTCTGTTGGCTACTGTATTTGTTTAAAGCGATTTCACGAAGAACGTATTAGCTGATTAATTATTTCACTTCACTTAGTAAGGATTTCAACCATGATAAATATTTTCGCTGTTTTTATGCACTAAGACGCATTTAGTGTTTACTTTTTATTTTCTGTAGTAAAGTTAATACTGTATATTCATATAATTATTTTTAATTATGTCACATATATAAATATGCAAATGAATCCGATTGGTTTACCCTCAAAATAGCAAATACATATTACAAGAGTGAAATTATTTCTCATAATTCTTATCTCCTTATTTAATAAACATAATAATTTATATTTAAAAATTAGATATTGTTATATGTTGATCTGAAACCATAAATTAAAAATTAGTTATTAAAGAAAGAATTTATTAAGGAAGTAATTAATTAAAGAATTATTAAAGAAATGTTTTCCAATTAAAGAAATGTTTTCCAATTAAAGAAATGTTTTCCAATTAAAGAAATATTTTTCAATTAAAGAAATAATTATTAAAGAAATATATTTTTTCTTTGCTTAATCTAACGAAAGGGCACCTGCTGGTATTCGTTGGAAATTAGGCCCGAATTATGCCGTTGGGAATTATGCCCCTAACGCGCTTAGATAAATGGGTGCTGACAGACGAGACGAGACTAAAGACGAGCTTGTACTCTTGGTTTTGGACTAGTCATCAAACTTTATTAACTACTATAATGTCCAGGGTGATAGAAATGAAATAAAATCTCGTAAACTGATGTAAAAGAAGTTCAGAGAGTAGTACTGTAAGTTTGAAGGTTTAACAGAATATAATTATTTCTTCAGTTGCAATTTGGAAAATGACATGAACAGAGACGTGTGCTGGAACTTGAAAAAACGGCAAAAGCTTCAAGAGTTTTGTGGCCAAATAACAGAAGACGTATCTTTCAACGCCGTTTCTTTTGGCGATATAAAACCTTGTGCTCGAAACATGTATACCTTCTGACGGAGCTTATTACTTTGATGTAACTTTCTTTGATCTTCCTACAAGCTATGGACGCTTATTTAAGTTATTGTCCTTTCATCAATAGGTATGATACCAATGCGTGCATGGTCACGTGGATAACGATTTAAGCAAAGCATTCGAGGCATGGCTAAAGGGCGCGATATCTTCGTGAATGACAATCTAGGAGAAAGTTTCGTATTCACGTTATAAACAGAGAAAACCATGCAGATGCCTAATCGCCAACCCTATCGCTACAGTTTGAAATTTGGATCACACTATGAGTGCTATGTGTTCTTATTCAATCGGCCGTCATTAGGCAATACTTTTCATAATCTATCCCTCAATTTCTTTATGAAGTGTATATAAATATTCTTTATAAAGTTTCTCTAAATAGTGAATTTCTTTATCAAGATATTATGTTCATAAATTTATAATAGCGAACCTCGTTGTTATTATTTATGATATAAATTTTAAATGGATTTTGCAACGAGAATTATTTAATCTTTTGTCCCATTAAACTAAATGATAATTATTTTATTTTTTATTTCATTTATTATTTTGAAGATTTAAAAAAAATATTTTACATAAACACTTTTTTTACTTATTTAAAAGTGATTGCATTTAATTCAGTCGTTATCAGAGCCTTTCTGTATAACTGTACATTTCCTTTACACTATACATTAATTTTATGATTGACTTGATATACACTGAAAGAAACTTTTACAACTGAATGCTGCAATTGACTGACGAAATTTATAAGAGTTTGATGCATAGATTATGACTTTCCTTAGGATTACTGACTTACATTACAAGAACTATTGTAAACTCAACTCCTTTTAAGTATGATGCTTTTCGCTATAATTTATTATAAAGATGTATTATCGAATCTATTCTAGGAGCCCATCACCGGCATCTGCGCCTGGAGCCCCCTGGACACTTTCACGCCTTCTTCACTGGAGACAGCTTCTTCGTCACTTGCTTGGCAGGGGAAAGGAGTGGAGCAACCAGACTCACTTGGCAGGCTCCCACTGGTAGAGATATTACCATCAGCACTGGGAGGTGAGTGCCCTTTCCTTAGATTAGAAAGTGAGTCGGGTAATTTTATTTCGATTAAATGCTTTAACTCTCTAAAATTTCAAAATATTCTTATCAGAGTGAAAAGCGTCCATTGGCACCTATGTTCAAGACTTCTTTCTACTAAGAAAATTCTTTCTGTCCTTATTTTCCTTTTTTAAAGTGCTTTATTTCTTGAACTACCATATAAAGAAACTGCTGAAATGTAGGCAGTAAGATGACTGTTTCCAGGGGATTCTGTAAAAATTAGTGTATAGCATTAATTTCCTGTTCAAAATCAATAGGTAATCATTTGGAAAACGTGTCCATTATTATTGGTCTTTAAACATATACTTGCAATTACAAAAGTGTTTTGCTGGCGCAAATATTCATGTTTTGGTGTTTCTAAATTTAAAAGATTTAATTTTCCAAAATTTACGAAATCTAGCTGCAACGTTGGATCCTTCATTCCCTATACTTATATTCAAGAAACTTTTGTACTAGTTATGGAATATAAAACAAAGAAACACTTGACTCAAGGACCACGAAAGTTAACCAAAATATTTGGTATTAATTTTGGGGTCCATATTTATGGACCATATACAAATCTAAAAACATAAGTACGTAACTAAAAATAAAATATCTATCAGTTTGTTGAGAAATTCAGTAATGTGCATTTCTAAGCAGATTCTTGTGAAAAATATTGTTCACTGCAATTTTTCTCAAAAGGAAGATATTATTCACAAAATCGTATAGAATCCATGTTAAAGTAAACATAGAAAATTTCATACTGACACACAGCCAACTAATAACATTACTTACATTTATGAAGAAGGAAAAATGTTTGCAGCTTATTGTATTTTTTGTGCATTTACCAGATTATAATTCTAATATAACACAACTTCATGAGAATACAGGAAACGTATTTTCAGACTCCAAAAACTTAAATAATACATGCATGAAAATTCCTTCAGCATACCAAATGTTACAAAATTGTAAGTTAAAGACAGTAGAAAATGCAGATTGAATGTGATGCCAAACATCGAATGAAATATCTCTATTTGAAATGAAATATCTCGGCCAGTTTTTGTCATATGGGGGTAAAACATTCATATTTTACGTTTTATAACGAGTGAAAAATTTTCTTAAATTTGAGTGCAGGAAAACGAGGAACGTGAAAGAAGGTAATAATTTTTACAAAACCGATTTCTTCAAATTTAAAAAAGCCATTACATCATCAAAACACGTTTCAGTTGATGTTTATTTCGAACGATTACGAAAATAAAGGAGAGGTAATGACTTTTGTGGACACGATGCATGTACATATGTGGTTCCTATCTTTCACTGGACAAAACATTCATTAAATGTTTTCAGGAATTAAAGACCTGCCTCCTATGGTTCTCATGTAGTGCAATGGGTAACGTGCTGTGTCGGGTAGCTTCAACCGAAATGTGGACGAAACCTTTTTTCAACTGTTATTTGCTCTTAAGCTTTACAAAATTGCACTTTACGAAAAAAAAAAAAAAAGGGGGGGGTGCAGTTCTTTAGCTCTCGTTCTACTGGCCCGATTGACGAAATTCAACTTGCGTTTTTCATGTTTCGAAAGCCCGAATTTCGATATGTACTAGATTTATATATAGCATTGTTTTAATATAGGTATTTTGGCAAAAAACGGACTCTCCTGAAATGACATTTCGATTAAATTTTTTCTTTGATTTCATTGAAATAATTTCTTTGATTATGGGTTCAATTTCGCATAAAAGTGCGCTTGTTATTCAATTTGTAATTTGACCCGTGGGCAACTGGAAAAATTTAACAACTGAGTTATTATTTTTTTCAAATAGTGTTAAAGGTATTTTTTAAATGATTTGAAATATTTTCAGTTTTCTTAATATAATTTTGCTATTTTATATACAACGTATAAAGGAACATTTACCACATGCTGAAATATTAGTGAAGCCAATGGTGGATTTTACTTTACTTAAATCGTTGAACTTAATTCAATGATCTGCTATAGGTATTGGTTCATATCAGCTTGAGTGGTCCAGTCTAGTTTTCATCTAAAAAAAGTAATGCATTGCTCATATAGGTACATTACATTGATTATATAATACAATACATTAGATTTCAATACAACACAGTACAATAATATGCTTTTTAATATATAATCATTGCAAAAATAAACATTGATTATGTATTATAGTACATTAAATTATGTATTAGAGTCTCATGCATAATTGGCTGAACATTGTAACATTATTGAGACAGTCTCTGCCCCTGCACTTGAATATCTGATTGTCTGAATTTCTATCCATCCAAGCTAGTGCTCATGTCCGAATAATGCAATCGGCATGATAATCAAAAGAATGTTGTAACTGTGCTATAAGTTATTTTCTCTCTCATGCGTTCGTGGTTAACGGGAAACACACTCACACGTATTCTTGAAGTCCGGCGTTCGCATCCCAGGGAGGGCATTGTACTTTTCATGTCTTCTGTGTCAAAGATCCTAAGGACTCTACAAGTGGGGCCCGAACTAAAAGGTGACGGACGATAATTCGTCATCACCATGATTTGGAGATTGGGTCTCCCCGTTTCCAGTCGCCCTTTAAAAGGGGATGTATATAAGGTTATAAAGTATTTCTCCCTTCTTTCCACATTCTTTCGTGGTGTAATTAGATACATAGTCCGACGCGTGTTCGAGAGGACCAGCATTTGAGTCCCCCACGAGGGTGTTGCAAATTTTTCACATCTTCTGCTTCAAACAACCTAATGACTCTACAAGTGGAGGACGAACTAAAAGTTGATGGAGGATAATTCTTCATCACCAGGATCTGGCGCCTGGTTCCCCTAATTCCCCGTCGCTCTTTGAAATGGGGCGTATATAAGGCATTTTCTCCCTTCTTTCCGCATGCCTCCGTAGTGTAATTAGAACCATACTCGACGGGTATTCGAGATTCCCGAGAAGGGCATATCATATTTTTCACATCTCCTGCTTCAAAAAATACCTAATGACTCTATAATGTATTTTCTACCTGGTTTTCATATACCTTCATGGTGTAACTGGAAGCACACTCGACACTTATTCGGGCTGTCCGGCGCTCAAATACGCGTCGAGGGCATGGCACAGTTTTCACGCTCCAGCATCGATATAACCTAATGACTCTGCAGTGCACGGGAATATTATTTTTAACGTTACAAATTAGTACTATTTCTCTTATATTGCAAGAGGTCAGTTCTAAATTTTATATTAATAGTTAACAACAGTATTTTAATGACATTTACATGAATCAAAATAAACCAGATTTCGAAAGCATTTCTATTTCATCAGCCAATTATTTCTCAAGATAAAATAAATAAATTTTAAAGAAATAAAGCCTAAAGGAAATAAGTTTAGAACTTTATCTTAAAAGAAATAAATTTACGACACTAAAACTGAAAGACTTTAGCTAATTTCTATGAATATGTACAAATTCACAGGATTGTTTTCTAAAGCTGGAAAATCATCCTTTTGCCTCTTGATAAGCACAAAGTCGAAGTTTGTATTAGAAGAAAAACCGTCCGTATTTCTGAGCATAAGGAAATAAATGAACGTTTTTAAGCTATATATGAAATCGTTATTTATAAAATATCTGGAATCATTCATGTATCTAAAAGCATATTATTTCTCTGTTTGGATTAAATATTATATTAAGAAAAACTGATTGCTCCTACATAATGCTTTGAGCTAAAAGCAAAAATTAAAATGTTGACAATTTTGGGTACAAAAAACGCTCGAAATAAATTATCTATAAATCGCATATTGACTTCGTAGTTGCGAATTAAAACACATTTTATATTTGATGGCTGCATATAACGACATTTGGATAATAAAGTACAACGAACAATTATCTGCTCTCGCATTACACTGAGTAATGATAAATCACTTAGGCACATTGGAAAATAATTCAAATAATTTTTATGCCATCATTTTCTACTGAACGTATAGGTTAAGATAAAATCAGTTTTCAAGGTTCTTTTTTCTTGCAAATATTTCGTTTATTTCACTTCAGTTACCCTGGAATTCTCCACATGCAGCACAAAATGAAAGTTTAATTTCTGAGCTTCCGATAGCTATTCTGGAGCAATGCCAAAATTCAACAACTGTTATTCTTTAATTCCCTGCTGAGCACATTTTTCAGCAGATTTGCTCCCATTTTTAACTGAATTTCTTATATAACCTTCATAAACTCAAACTGAAGGATTTTTCTCTCTTATATATATATATATACAAGAGTTCGCGTTTCTTCCATGGGAGCAGTTAAGAATACCAATGATGATTAAGTTACAGGCAAGAAAATCAAAATATTCTTAGAATTATTAAAAATATTTCTAATGGCTCACTTAAATCTTAAACGTTTAAGCATTCCTTTCGACTTGCGAAATTTTCTTCAGTATTTTGTGGCGAATAAATTCATGAATAATTTTAATGAATTTTTATTTTACTTTGGGCATCTTAAGAAACTATACCTGTATATATATATATATATATGTATATGCATTATTAAAAGAGAAAACATTGTAAATATTATTTACAAAACAATATCCTGCGCAGTTGCTGCTAAGCTCACATAACATAATTATTTACTAAACACTAACGGAGTGAAACTGAAAGGAAACAAACAAAGTATGATAAAAAGTTAAGAAAAAAATGAGAAATTTCCAATTAAGAGTAAGAGAAAACTTTTACATCAACTTGATTTGAATTGGTATAGTAATCTGGAAGAAATAAAAGCACACAAAAATATGTAAAGGCAAAAGTAGTAGTATGATTTAAGACTCAAAACTTTATAAGGAGAAGGAATAATTCTTAATGACTCACACTTTTCTGGAAAAATCGTGATGTTTCTGTCCGTTTCAAATTAGCGGAGGCACTGAAATTAATTACTTCACATTATTTATACCTTTGAAGATCAGAGGCGCCTCTCTTACATAAAAAAGTAAACAATTCTAATTGCTGAAAAAGAATA